CGAGGAAGCCAGCTGCCTAAGAATGGGATCCATGAAAGCCTGCATGCTAGGAACTGAGCTGTCAAAGCTAGCCAATAGCAGATGCAGAGGAGAGGGATGTGTCCTGACCCCTGCCCCTTTCAGGGAGTTAGGTGCCTAAATCTAGGCTGGAGGGGAGCACCTATCTCTGCTTGGGATGTGCAGCCATGGACCCTTCTCCTGGAGTCAGGAACCTAAGCTGTTGCTTGTAAGAATGGCAGAAGTACTCTCCTAATTCTATACAAAACAGAGGTGGTGGTAGCCTTATAACCTTTAGCCTTGTAGTTAAGACACTCAGATGGGAGACCCCAGTTCAGTTCAGTTCTTCCCTCTGCCTGCTGTGGAGAAAGGATTTGACTTTGGGTTTCCCACCTCTCCTCTGACTGCCCTAATCACTGGCTATAGAGTCAGTCACAAACTCTCTCACCCAGTGTCTATTTCATTTTTTTAATTATGTAATATAAAGTGGAACAGCTTCAACAAGAGAGATTGAGAAAGCCTCACAAGAGACTATCCCATAGTCTAGTGGTTGGGGCATGCATCTAAAGGGTAGAAAGCCCAAGTTCAAAGAAGTTCTTTTCTAAGGGTGGAACTGAACCAGGGTCTTCCACATCCCAGGTGAGTGTTCTAACCAGTGGACTAAAGATTATAAGGAAGGCTGCTGCTGCCTCCTTCCTCCCTTAGCTTCTCTGCATGGCTTAAAGCATGCCTACTGGATTGGGCTCCGCAGGCGAGGTAGGTGGGACATTGCCTAGTTTCACCTGGTTTGAGGATTATGCAGGCGTGAGATAGGCACTGGCTATCAGTATTGAGGCAGCGATGTACACAGCCAGAGACAGAAATTTAGACACCTTGGGGACTTTAACAGCAGAAATTTTGACACTGAACAACTTTAGGCACCTCCAGAGTTAGGTGGCAGCTGAGTAGCAGTTTTGAGGATTTCGGTGGTGCCTAAATTTTGGACTTAGTCATCTAAAGTAGGAGTTAGATGCCTAAATCCTTTTGTGGTTCTGGTCCTCTCTTCCTCAGTTCCCCTTCCGTACGAAGCGGATAACAGCACTGCGCTACCTCGCTGGGGTGTGGTGAGGATATATACATTAAAGATTGTGAGGTGCTCAGATATTATGGCAACAGGGCCCATCTACTTATTTCCTTTGTAAAACCTTCTGAGAGCTATAGATTAAAAGCATTTAAATAAGAGTTAGGTGTTAGCACATAGGCTTGTTTGTCAGCCTGAGATAGAATTTTGGGTTTGACTTTTTGATACCCTTATATCTTATACTAATATGTGTAAACAAAAGACAAAGACAGTGTGTTACATCTGCCCTCAAGCAGAAAGGGTGAAAGAGATAAGAGATGGAACTAAAGTCTTACAGGGTATGGTAGGAGTGTAATATATGAGCATACACTGGAAGGCTGCCTGGGTCCTCTCTCCAGTCAAGGTCGAGCAACCAGTTAGGAGGGGCAAGAGCATGCAGGCATAAGACACACTAAAAGCCAAAGAAAGGCCAGGCATTGGCCAGAGCACAACCTCACTCCTTACGCCTCCCAGGGGGTACAAAAGAGGTGGGACGAAGACCCAGACCCACAACCCTCCAAAATGGAACATGACCATAAATTGTAAGGTGTGGGACTGTGGGCATGCATTGCAGGTATGTTTGGGCCTGCTAAGAATAGGGAATAGGGAGTGGGGGTGGGAACGGGGAACAGGGATATAGCAAGGCTCTGCAGTGTCAGAGCTGGGAAGGGGGACACGGGGTAAATGCTCTGCAGCATCAGAGCTGGGAACAGGACACTGGGAAACAAGACTCTGTGGCATCAGAGTTATATGTGCTTGCTTGGAACTAACCCCAATACACATCGCATTGCCTGCATTTGGGGCTTCTGGTCTTCTGCTTTCTGTTTGCGTGACAAGAACCGGGGGATGGGGTGAAGGAAAAGCTCTCTAACATTAGATATTATTATTCTTGATGCCATCCATTATTTCATATTGCCTCTTATTCATTTCCTGTCTACCTGAAACATTCCTAGTCTTTTCAATCTCTCCTTATATGGAAATCTTTTCATGGCTCTGATTATATTTGCAGCAATTCTTTGAATCTGTCAATTTCTTTTGAGAGAAGGTGATTGGAACTGAACACAGTTTTCCAAGTGATGGCATATTATTGGTTTATATAATTGCATTATAATATTTTCAGTATCATTTTCTTTCCCTTTACTTTTATGTCCTTACATTTGGTTTGCTTTTTTGACCATTGATGCATATTGAGCAAAGGAATATCCACAGTGGTTATAGTT